AATAATAATAATAATAATAATAATAATAGATAGCATTAATTGTACAGCGCAAATTCCCGCTCAGCAACAATCTCTATCCGCTTTATAATCTGTATTATTAATTACCCCTGCAGACTTGATAGCATTCTGAAACGATCTCAACTTCCTGTGAAGCATACAGTGCATACAGTACTCAAGTACAGCTCCCTCCCTGGTGCACGTGAAGGGCTTCTTGACAAAACGGGGTGCTCCGTTAGCTGGGTTGAATGATCATGCCGAACTACGGAGCGGATAGCCCTTGTTCAAATCCCGGACTGGGTGACAAAATGGGAAAACATTGTAGTAGGTGGGTGGCTTGCAGGTGCTCTTGTGTGGTATGGCCCATCTTTCCTATCAAACATCCATCGTCCTGATCTCTCCTTTTTTTGTTTGCTTGTTTGTTTTTTGTTGTTTTTTCTTGTAACACCTCTAATCTTCTGTACTTATATGACCTAATTGTGTTTTAAGTGCCGTACAACGCTTACACAAAAAAAGCATTGTAAACGTCGAACAAAAAGATTTGTACTTGATGTTACCAGTAGCAAGGATTTTCCCTGACTTGACTATTGAGATACTGAAGCTTTAAAAACTCGGTCAAGACCAATTGCAATCAAGATTGTCTTCTTGTTTTCAACATAATATTTTCTTTTGGTCGCTTTTTAATCTTTTATATGTCCAGACCAGATGACAGGCGTCTGTGATATACGGGTTATGCTCTTGTTCGTCGCATGCAGGAAAAACAAGAAAGACTCCCGTTTGTGGAGAATTTGTATCGAATATCTCGGTCTTTCTGTTGGGGCGTTGTATCCTTATTTCAGGTGGGCCCTGACAGGCGGGATTGGAGCCGACCTACAACACAAATTGTGCTGTTGGGGACGTAAAAACAACTATATGTAATTCTAACCCTGCTGTAGTTCTGTGGGTGGTTCTAACTTGGGTGCTCCTGTGTGATTTGCTCCTTCTTTCATGTCAAACGTCTATCGCCCTTATACCCCCCTCGTCTTTTCTTTGCATTTTACTTTCAAATAACAAATCTAATCAGTGGCACTGTTGTGACCTGTTTGTGTAACTAGTTCTGTAAAATTCGTTCTAAAACTCAGCTAAAATTAAATAATAATAATAATAGATAGCATTTTTATAGCGCATATCCCCGCTCAACAGCAGGCTCTATGCGCTTTACACTATATTATTACCCCAGCAGACCATAGAACACTCCGAAACATTCTCAGCTTCCCGGGAAGCATACAGTGCAAGCAGCCGATTAAGCGCTCAAACACTAACAAACTGACAAGATCTTTCGCTGTCTATAGCCGGGTACCCATTCCCACCTGGGTGAAGTGAGGGAAATTCGTGTAAAGTGCCTTTCCCAAGGACACAACGTCGGGTCCCTGACAGGATTCGAACCCACGACCTTACGGTTGCGAGTCCGAGAGCCTAACCACTAGGCTACCGACGCACTGCTGCCTTACTTTTGCTAAAGTACGTTACAGTTCTTTGTGGCCCATTTCACCGGGGATGGGCGGGGTGTTTCGGATAATCGTCTTGTGTTCTTATATTCTATACTTGTGCTGTACACTCTGGTGTGTATTCTGGGGTTTGCTTCATTCACTCTTTCATCTGGGTACCTATCATCAAGTGATGAAATGCCTGTCTGTGCATTCATCTATAAAAAGCTGCACCATGCGCAATACCCTCGGTGTCCTCCTTCAAGTGCCAGATCTGAAACAATTATCAGCAGTCATGGTTCGCTACTCATTTCCCTGGTCTGATACACTCAAAAGACTTATATTATCCACGCTGTTACCCATTCAATAGCTTTTAAAACTTATGGCTCGGATTCCTAATTTGTTGGTTTGACATTTTAACTCTTTTCAACGACTAGCGAATGCGTGGGTATGCTGAGTTTTTAAAAATAAAGTTAACATCAACGCTTTAAAGTCCCTCTCCGGAGAATACAAGACCATCCCAGGGGGCGAGAGAGTGTGTCAAATAAATGGGGGGAAAAGGAAATGTAGAAAGGAGATAAATGATGAGGGAAGGGTGAAGGTCGTTTGGCATAGAAGTGCAGAAAGAGAGAAGAGGATTGTGCATTGGTATCTTAACCTTGGAAGGGGAGGAGGGTGCATTGGCACACCATTGAAGAAATGGGGTGAAGGATGACATGATACGCTATGGAAGTACTAGTAGGCGCTGGAGGACGTGCTGAATAACGTACAAGAAGAAAATGGCTTTCAAGCTCTCAGGTAGGCTACTTTTGCAGAAACTTTCTTCGAAATACGCGACTTTTGTAGAGATTGACTCCAAAAATACACAATATTTACAGAGATTGTCTTCAAAATAGGCGATATTTACAGAGGTTGTCTTCAAAATAGGCGATATTTGCAGAGATTGTCTTCAAAATAGCCCCACTGACGAAATTTACGAATGAAATAACTTTGTATCATAAAATATTGTGGAGCGTAATTTTACCTTTTTTTTTAACAGTTGCAGGAGAGAATCCTCTTCTTCCAGTTGCTGACTTGGGTAAGTCATGATATATCGTATGTATTTTTTGTCCCGTTTTGTGGGAGTTTCCACGGATCTCAACCCTTTTGATTTGGTTCTATCAGAGACAGTCGTTAAATTCAAAGGTCCCGCCTAACGGTGTTGATAGAGGCATTAAACCTATACACGTACTTACGCCAGAGGCATGAGTTTGATTCTGGCATAAGAAAATTACATACTGTATCGAGGGTCTCCGTCTTTGTGCTGGTATGCTGTACGTCTCATGTCCCTCGTTCACCCGTAACAAAAAAAAGGAGTAACCTGTTTAAATTCTGTCGATAGAGGTGTAAAACTTCTGAGTCGATATAAGCGTAAAGCATTATCAGAGTCGATAAGATGCATAAAACATTATCAGAGAGATACAATGACCCTGGATAGAGGCGGAATAAAAATAATATGTTTATTTTGATAAGTGTTTTACGGCGCTCGCAACTGCCTAAAGTCATATGAGAGCGAATCAAAATATGAGATAATACTAATACTATAAATCTCAGCTCTCAAGGATCGAACTCAAGTTTTCTGCAAGATAAGTATAGAGCTCAACTAAAGTCATATGAGCGCGAATCAAAATATGAGATAATACTAATACTATAAATCTCAGCTCTCAAGGATCGAACTCAAGTTTTCTGCAAGATAAGTATAGAGCTCAACTAAAGTCATATGAGCGCGAATCAAAATATGAGATAATACTAATACTATAAATCTCAGCTCTCAAGGATCGAACTCAAGTTTTCTGCAAGATAAGTATAGAGCTCAACTTTCATCCGACAGACACTTGTGTCGTCTTTTCCTTCGTGGCCTTTGCTGGCCGTGGTTTTTGTTTGCAAAACTAAAGCTGCCAGAATTATAGGGGCTGCATGAAGTGACACATTTTGACTTTGGGAACCCAGTCTTAATTATGTTGGCCGAAATAGGTGAAAGGAAGGTCTATGACGTCCCAGAGTCACCGTTATCGCTTCCCCCCCCCCCCCCCCCCCCCAAGTTTGAACAATCTGGAACGGTCGTTTTTTTTTTTTTTATGTGTTTTTAGAGAGGGGGGGGGGGGGGGTTCAGGTTATTTTTGTTGTTGTTGCTGGTGTTTTCTTTTTCATTTTGTTCTTTTTTTCTGCGTTGATGTTGTTCTGTGAGTTGTTACTTTTTCTTTTCCTGTTGGTTTGGTTGTTTTGGGTTTTTTTATGCTTCTTTATGGGTGGGCTGCAAGGGGAACATCCATTCCAAGGGTCACATGATGTGTATATGTTTTATTCAGATCCAAATTATCATAAATGTTTGTTTAGTGGTCCTTTTCACCCCAATGTTCGGATAGCCTCCTCATTCTCCTATGTATACTTGCGTTGTTTACTTTGGTGTGTCTTCTGTGGTGTGTTTTCCTCACATTCCTCTTGACGTCTGTGCGAGTGTGTGATTTCATTTAAGGTTTCCCCGTCCACCCATGCGCGGCGTTTTCTTCTTTTTCTTCTACTTCTTCCGTCTCAGAGGTGCATTAGTTACCACGGTACATTTAATTTACCCAAAAACCCGCTATCCTCTCGAAGAAATTTAGTGTGACAAAGTGGGAAAATGATACTGCTTTATGAGATAAGAACGAATTTTATTGGCGTTGTGTCAGTCGGAGGTTCTCGTAACTATCTGCCTCTTCTCTTTCTCTCTCTCTCTCTCTCTCTCTCTCTCTCTCTCTCTCTCTCTCTCTCTCTCTCTCTCTC